AAAAAAAAGACTCAAAGTTGTTAAGATTTCAGTTCTCCCCAAACTGATCTATAGATCTAGCCATCACATTTAACACCATGTAAACGGGGCACCTGGGTGGCTCAGTGCCTTCAGATCAGGTCATGATCTCAGGGTCCCAGGACTGAGCCCCACATCAGTCTCTCTGCTCAGCAGGGAGCCTGCTCACCCCCACCCCACCTGCTTCTCTGCCTACTTGTCATATAAAATCTCTGTCAAATAAAAATCTTAAAAAAAAAAAAGTCATGATTTTTATAGAAATTTTCAAGCAGATGTATTTACATGCAATGGCAAAGGAACTGGAAAAACAAAGTGATTTTGAAAAAGAATTACAGGATACACTTTATCTGGTTTTAGGTTTCACTGTAATATACTGTAGTAATAAAAAAGTGTGGTATTGATGAAAAAGTAGAAACAGATTACAAGAGCAGAATGCAAAATCAAGAAATGCATCCTCACATACTTGTTCAATTGATTTTTCTATAAAAATGCAAAGGCAATTAAATGGAAAATGAATTTTTCAACTAGTGCTGGAAATACCAATGTACATATGCAAAAAAAAATCAAAAATTTAAATTCCAATTAGATTCCAAAAAATAAATTCCAACTCATAAATATAAAAACAAAAACCAAAAAAAGTAAAGTAAAACATAGAAAAAAACCTTTTATTGTTTTGTTTTCAAGTAGGCATAAATCTCTTGAGTTACAATTTTATGTTGATAAACTGACTTCACAAAATTTTTAACTTCATAAAAGTTAATAATTTAGACCTCAAAAAATTTTAAATTTCACCTTCCCAATAATTCTGTTCCAAGCCAAGATACCAGATTTAAAACAAATCAAATGAGACAGTTTTCAGCACTTGGGACATCCCTGAGAGATGGAAAATAGAAGTGATCTCTAGAATCATCCCAAGTTAGTCTTTAAAGCCTTGCCAGGACAGGACTCAGGGAAGGTGCACCAAGGCAGAGTTTGGCAACCTCAGCTCCAGGGAGTCCAAGGACAGCAAGCAGGGTAGAAGATGCAGGGCAGAGTGAAAGGAAGAACCCCTGCTGAGGGTCCCCGTAAGTATTCAGAACACTGGCAACTGTGTTTGTGTGAGGAAACCTAAGGTTGAGGAAAGTTATCTACCCTAAATGGTCAGAAGCGTGCAAATAGCCAGGAATAATGACTATTCCTACCAGATTGGAAAACCTCCCTAATTCCAAAAGCCTTGTGTAGACTATCCAGAAGGCTCTTGCCTCACTAAATCCCGAAGGATTTTAGTGGCTAAGCCCTGGATTAAACACTGGTCTGGTTCTTTGTTGGGTGGGCCCCAACCTGTTGATATTGACACTTTGGGCTAGAAATGCCCACGGCACATGCCCAGCCCCACCGACTCCTAGTGAGCTCCCAGACATGTCCCCCACCAGGGCCAATGTTGTGGCTGGATGGACCATCGTGGTTCTTACTATGAGGGCAGGAGACACATAAGCAAGAAACGATCAGGGAACTTGAAAAAACAAGATTTCTTACTCACAGTTCTCAGTGGGTACATGAAATGCCTAAGGGTCACAAAGCAAGGTAGGGTAAAGAGAGACATAGCACAGCAAGATGGGTCCCTGCCATCATCAGGGTCTCATGTTTTCTGCATTTGCTCTTTATTGGCCAATCTAAAGCACCAGAGTGGGGAGCTGTGGCTCAGGAAGTTCAAGGTGGGGTTCCCTGAACAGTTATCTAGGTTGCCCAGGGCTTTCTGCAAGAGGGATCTTCATGGGTGGGGGCAACCTAACTCCTTATCTGGTTGTTTAGCTATTAGCAAAACCACTTGGATTGTTTCTGCCCTTTGGCCGTTATAAATGCTGCTGCAGCGAATACTGGCACACAAGCATCTGAGTGACTGCTTTCAATTCTTCTATTAAACTAGAATTGCTGGGTCCTATGGTAATTTTAGGTTTAGCTTTTTCACAAACTGCCAATCTATTTCCCAGAGCTGTTGCACCATTTTACATTCCTCCCAGTAAAGCACATATGGTTTCTAAAATTTTCCACATCCTCAACCAACACTTGCTGTTTTCCACTTTTTTAAATTATTGCCATCCAAATAGGTGTGATGTGATATTTAACTGTGGTTTTAATTTGCGTTTCTCTGTTGTACATCTTTCCATGTGATTATTGACCATTTGTTTCTTCTTTGGAGAAATGTTTATTCAAGTCCTTTGTCCATCTTTAATTTGGTTGTCTTTCTGTTGAGTTGTAACTCTTTATATATTCACCCTTTATCAGATATGTGATTTACAAATACTTTCTCCTGTTCTTGTTAGCTTCTTTATAAGTAGACTCCACATCCAACATGGACTTGAGTTCACAACCCTGAGATTAAGGGGTGGATGCTCTCCCAACTGAGTGAGCCAGATGCCCCTTGTCACTTTCTTGATAATGTCCTTTAATGGACAAAAGTCTTCAATTCTGATGAACTCCATGTTGCTCATGCTTTTGTGTCATGTCTAAGAATACACAGATAAATCCAAGATCATGAAGAATTACCACGTTTTCCTCTAAGAGTTTTATGGTTTTAGCTCCTAGGTTACTGATCCATTGTGAGATAGTTTTTGCACATGGTGTGAGGTGGAGACCTAGTAAATCTAGGGATAAGACAGAAACATAAAGTATGAGGGACATGGAGAAAAGCTCAAGGATCTGAAAGCGGAGTTGAAATGGGGACACTGAGATAGTACATTTTAAATGGTTGCTGAGAGGCCACTTAGCTATTTAAGGAGACCCGGATGCTGATTATCTCCCAGGAATAATCTTGGTCAGCAAGCAATATTAATATAACATTGCTACCTGTAAGTAAATTCAGGAACATATCAAACACTACACAGAAAATGAAGGCAACTCTGTCTTCTATAAATTACAATAAAGATAGGTTAAATAATGGAATTTAAATATCCTGAATAGTGTTTTCACTCAGTGATTCATAATTAACTCTGCTTAATATACCAGTCTATTTTAGAATTAGTCTCAATAATAAACCCAGAGTAAGTAAAAAATCCAATAAAATTATATGAAATATCACTAGTAACCTTTTATGGGAACTCTATACCCTTTAAAAATTCACAGAAGATAAACCCAATGAACACTTAGAGATATTACAGAAGGAAATGAACATAAGCATTGTCTTTATCAAAGGTTTAAGGGAGTATTTGTTTCATGCGTCATCCTAGCATTTTTGTGCCCCAGAGTTCTAGTTGAGAAGATACGGTCATCCTTACAGCGGTAGAGGCTTAATGGGCTCTTCAATCTTGATCTGATCCAGCCCCTAAATCTGCTCCTACTGATCAGTCTGATCAGTCAAAAGCCACTTCTACCTATCCCTAAATTCTCAGAAGAATCCTAGAACATGACAGAGATTCTAAAGACCCAGTCTCATGGGCTCAAAAAGGGTCCTGAAGATACTGTCTCCGAACTCGTTTAAGTACATTAGGTCAGAAACATCCAAGGCTTCAAGGAGACAGGCAATAAACAAAAGACAAATGGCCTCTGGTCAAGGTTGTCCCTCAAATTCTAGTAGCAACAGAAGGAAAAAGGGCCAATTTCAGGTTTAAAAAGTTGACCATAGTGACTTTTTAAAGTAGCAGGATGATCTGCTCCTGCGACTCTAGGTTTTATCTGGGCATCTCTGCAACAAATGCCACTATTGACATTTGACACTCACCAAAGCATCCATTAATGATACTTAAGTTTTGTAAATTTTCATAACAGAGTTTGAATAAAAACAGAAAACTTTTAACTATTTTTTTTTCAGGACACTTTTTTTTAGAAAGTGTTTCATTGGAGGTCAAAATATTCTGTCACTAGGAAAATAAATATTTCAGTGACAAAGTTCTATGTGACTTCAATCAAAACTAATTTCCCATCTCTTGAAATTGTATTTTGGAATTGCAAGTTTTACAACCTAAAATTATTCAAATGTCAACGCTCTTACAGTCAGTATGAGAAATAAACTCTATACAGTTCCACCAGCTTCCAAACAGAAGAATTTCTATCTTTGTAAGTTGTAATATAAAATCTAAAAATTCACCATATTTCAGCCTCAAGGACATATATGTCAGGAAAAAAACATGTATATATACAACAGTGCCTTTGTTCCTATAATATTAAAAATGATTTAGTCTAAGCTAGGAAATACAATTAAGTGGAATAAGTACAAGAGGACACCAGTTTTTAAAAATTGGAGGATACTGCAAATGTAAAGTTGAAAATTTTAACACAGTCCTCCCCCCAAGTGTTTCTGACACTTGTATGCTCTAGGAAGAATTATGTCTTCTAATATACTTCACACAAGTATGTTTTATAGGTGTACATACTTTCTCACAAATAAACCAAAACCAAATGAAAATAAAATTTCCTTATCAGAAAAGTAACAGGGACACCTATGGTGCTGTCAGTTGAGGGCTTCACTCTTGGTTTCAACTCAGGTCGTGAACTGACTTATGGGATTGAGCCCCGGGCTTAGCCAGGAGTCTGCTTGAGACTCTCTCCCCCTCTGCCCCTCTTGCTCTACTCTCTCTTCCTCTTCCCTTAAATAAATAAGTAAATATTAAAAAAAAAAAAAAAAAAAAAAAAAAGGGAAGAAAAGTAACAATCCTGTCTGGATCTTAAACAACAATTTCCAGCTTCTAGTTACCAGTTCTAAGACACTCACAGAGTTAATCCTGCTTGATGCAGGGATGAAAGCGATCTCCCGCCGCAGGGTGCAGGGAGCGAGTGGCACGGAGAGGGCTGAGGATTTATCCACTATTATTTAAAGAGCCCAGAGACAGTCTGAAAAATCTCTTTGATCACACCACTTTCCTTGTGTCGCTGGCACATCTTTTCTTTTTTTAAGAAATATATTTTATCTTCTTAAGTGAAATATCCATTAACCAGAAATACTTTTTGTCAGCCTAAGCTATAAAAATGTCATGCACAGAAACTGACAAAACAGCAAAACATCCAACTTACATATTTTAGGCATATTTATTTAATAAATAACTTCAGTAAACAGCATGTAAAAAGTGAACTGTTAAAATTAAAAGGCACTTAACACAAGAATATGACTAGATGAAACAAAATGGGCAAACAGTGAGAAGGAAATATACAGTGGTCTGTTATAGTGTGGGCCAAAGGGGGGACGTGAGTTAAGTAGGGACTGAGGACAACTTCACATGTTCATTAAAAAGGCAAATTTACAGCTGAAATGTCAAAGAAAAAGTACTGGTAAAAAAAAAAGTCTAACCCCACAAATTGCAAACAAATACATTAAATGATTAGAAGAGGTGAGGTGATAAAAAGCACCAGGCTTTAAAAGAAATACAATGAATAAAATAAATTCCCTCAAAGGTCCTCAATTCAGCAAATATTTTGTAAATTAAGGCCATTATGTAAATGATGCTAAATTAAGGACTTTTTTGCAGAAAATTTCCCATACTTTTATCCAAGGCTTGACTTTCTAAAGTGAAGGCAAAGAGTTACCAAGATTAAGTAACTCTTAAAATGGCACACAGGTTTTAAAGCTATGTTTTCCCTTCCTAACTCTCTTTCTCCCGTGGCCTCTGTAGATCAAATATTTCAAAACTATTTTACACCAGTAATCCCCAATATGCTCAATCTTTCAGATATGTCATCAGTCTTGTCTACTAGGCAAAGAGCAAAATAACAAATTTAAAACAATTCTAAACTAGCTACGTCGGACATTTACTTTGGAGTCTGTAAAACTAAAACCTGACATATCTGTAAAGCTAAAAATCAATTTTAATACTTGATTAATGGAAACTCTCAGCATACTCGTTACTTTAACTACTGTCCTTTCAATCACTCTAGCAATATCACTTAATCCCCAGTAAGAGCCTGATTTCAACAGTCCAGGAGGAAAAGGTCAAAAAGGCACAAAGTGACCTTTGCTGACGAGGATAAGCATCCTGTCTCAAGTTTTTTGTCAGTCCCTGGCATTGATTATAACATTATTTTCAAAATAAAAACCTTTTTAAATTATACATATTGTACATTTTCAAAAACTGCACATGAGAGAAATCATAGTGCTACTGCCCTAAAGCTACCTCACTGTGACTGTGAAAATTACCACTCTGCACTCAGTGTCGTCAGTCTGCACAGGTCAAGCTCATTTGCCCTCGTACTTTGGATTGACAACAGTTGTCACAGCACTCTTATAAATCGGATTTTCACCCTAAAAAAAAAAAAAATGAGAAAAATGATCGGTTTACTAAAATCGTGTAGAATTATTAGACAATATTGAAAGTGAATGGTCATTTTTGGACATTCTTTCCGTTCTTATCTGTCCAGATATCACACTCAATTTTTAAAAAGGCATTCATAAAAGTCTACACAGAAATGAAAAATGAAAGCTTGGCTCTTCAAGTGGAAGGGTGACCCTGTATCTGGCATCATTTCATTCCTGAGTCCTTCCTACGCGGCAGGATTAAGAATGTCCTCCATGGCAGAGAACGTGCTATTAGGCTTCTCTCCTCTCAACTATAGTTTTGAATGCCTGTCTTAAAGAAAAATTAGCCCGTCTGCCATTAACTGCCTGATTCTTAATCCTTCATTGTGGGTAAGAAGGTTCTTGATAATTCCTGGGAATCCTGTACTGTCATCTCTGTGAGGGAAGCGTTCTCCTGAGGCTCTTCCACCACAGAACTTACTGATACAGACAGTCCTGCGACAAGGCTTGCACAGGATTGCTGAGGGTCCTGTGCCTCCACAAGTCGTCACATTGCCAAATTTGCTTAAAACGTTAACACAAATAATACCATTCTTCATGAAATAATTGTTATCCTTCGGTATCACACTGGTAAAATGTTTTATCTTTATTGCAATACTAAATTGTGTTAAAGAGTACTGAAATCAAGCCCAGCAAATGACTCCAAGCCATCAATACAAAAGCTCTTCCAAGATCCAAAAATACGCAGGCACTGATGTTTTAAGTAGCAGGCAAACAACATACACTCCCACACTACCATTTTCTTAAAAAAAAAACCACAAAAAACAAAAAAGAACAAAACCCTTACAAAATCCTTATGCTAAGTGATACATTTCAATATCTACTATAGCATTTTCTTTCTCCTATCCTTATAAACTGAAAGTAGGCTTAAAAGCCAACTGAGAAGTATGGTCAATAATCCTCTATCAGGGGGCGCCTGGGTGGCTCAGTGGTTAAAGCCTCTGCCTTCGGCTCAGGTCATGGTCTCAGGGTCCTGGGATCGAGCCCCGCATCGGGCTCTCTGCTCGTCAGGGAGCCTGCTTCCTCCCTCTCTCTCTGACTGCCTCTCTGCCTACTTGTGATCTCTGTCTGTCGAATAAATAAATAAAATCTTTAAAAAAAAATAATAATCCTCTATCAGAGGAAATTACAGTGAGCACAAATCAATAAATGTTAAATAAAAACTTAAGGTATTAAGTTTTTAGGTAAAAATTAAGACTTTGAAATGCTGTTTGGTTTTGTATTGTACCATAGAGCCATTTGTGGTGACTTTTTAAAATATTTGTAGAAAGCATCTAAATAGTGATTTCTGCTTTTAAAATTTATTTATACTTCACTGCGGATTATATTTGGATACGGCTTTTATTGCTGCAATTTTTGCCCTCTAGTAGGGTACAATCTGGTGGATGACACACATGCAAATAAGTTAAGGCACTTTGATACAGTACAAAATACAACTACGTACACAATATGGGAGCAGTAAAAGAAAAAAGGGACTCAGAGAAGATTAAAGGTATTTTCAGAGAAACTGATTATAGATAAAATATTAAAATAGAAATAGAAACACAAGGAAAATCGAAGTTCATAGGCAAAGTCAAGGTCTAGGGAAAAGAATGACACATTTGTGTAGAAATACATACAGTTTAGAAGTTTTTAACAGTGCGCGTGTGAGTGTATGTCCTGAGGTGTGAGCAAGGGAGAAGACACCAGAGAAGGACAGTGCCAAATCCTAAAGGTCTTGTAGGCCACACTGAAAAGACTGAATTTTATCCCACAGATAGGAAATCATTGAGGAAAAGTATAGCGTGTAAAGTTGGGTGGTCCTGAAACACACCAAATAAACCACTACCACTTCAGCTCAGCAGTTAGTCTGAATTCCTATTAAGATAGGACACTATGTTTTAGCCCGACCCCAATCCCACCCCACAAAATACAACTTGACCAGTCATTTCAGAAGCATGGAACTCAGGATCCCTCAGAGACAAACATTACATAATCTGGATGATTAAAAAAAAAATACAGGAGGATATCAACTTATCTCTTATCCAACTGAAGCTAATACATTATTATACAGACATTACAGCTGACATTTCATAACGGAGACAGGAAACTGGATCCTGGCAACTACATTCTTAGCAAGTTATATAGTACAAATAAGTTAAACTCTCCATTTCCATCTTCCTATTCAGCATATGATGCTAAAACTAGATTCTTCCAAATATACTGACAAAAACAAATCACAATTTTTCTTTAAAACAATACATTAGATCTAATATTTCATACTTAAGAATTGTAAGGGAGGTAAACTCATATATAAACCAAACCAACCAAACAAAAAAACCCAAAAATAAAAAAACCCAGAAAACAAAACAAAACCAAAAAACACCCAAATTACTGATGAGTCCAAAGTACATAAGGCAGAAACTTACCTTTGGAGAAAAGTGCCTTTTCATATACACAAATGTTTATATATTTATTATTACATCCAAACAAAAGTTTAACATGCAAGGTTAGAGGTAAAATTAAACTATCTGTGTTAGGCATCATTTTTAAATGGAGGTAAACTAAAGTAAACCATATTAGTTTCCATCGTTCAGAGTGCAACCCCACCCCTATCTTGAAAAAAAAAAAAGATTAAAAGCATATTTAAATCAAGAGAAAAGGGTTCTATTCAGCAGTGAAGTTTCCTGCACTCAGTAAAATGTCATCTCTATGTTCACACTGGAATGACTGAGAGCAGTGGCTACAGAATCATCGCGGATTATAACATAACATACTAGATAGACAACACAGAACTGTGAGAGATTAGGAAGCTGCATTTAAATTTGCATAACAGCAAGGAGGATAGACAATTTTTTAATCCACTTTAAAATTATAAAGTTAATAATTTTACTTTACCTACATAATAGTCTTACGACGTAAAGTAATTACAATGTCTGTTGATTACCTGAAATATGTTAATGACATAATTCATTGATTGGTAAACGCTGGTCCCATATCAGAAAAGTGTTTCAGATTCATAATTTATTTTCATTTCTTAATGCTCATTAATTTCTACTGTTTATTTCTACTTTATTTTTTTGTGAGAAAACATCTCAGAATAACCTGTAGCCATTAATTTACTGGATTTCACTAATGAATAATAAAATTTTAACGAAACTGTTACTTCTTGAATTATCCAAAAGGCTTATTTTGGCTGAAGAAGTAACATTTTAGCCAAAATTAATGATATAAACATTAAGTTTCACTATTATTAATTTCCTTCAATGTACAATTTCATGTGTAATAAAGGTAGAAATTTCACCTTTTAATAGGATACACAGAAATTTAACTCATTTGAGAAGTAGTCATATAGAATTGTCAATATTTGACTATATTTGACCTACCAAAAAAAAAAAAAAAAAAGGGAAGGAAGGAGGGAAGGAGGAAAGAAAGGAAGGAAGGAAAGGAGGAAGGATGGATGGAAGAAAGGAAGGAAGGAAGAAAGGAAAAAAGAAAATTGAGCAAATCTGTTTCCTTCTAAAAATACTCCGTGGAAAGGATTAAGGAAACAGAACACACCAAGTCTAGACTAATACAAAAATGTACCAGCCTGCCCATATATGAATGTGACAGTAATCTTCTGCCATCAAATTTAATTTTGCCATTGAATAAGTCTTAAAATCTGCTTAGAAATAAAAGAAAAATCTGACAAGTAATGGTTTCCAATAGTCTTAAAAACACTGAGTAATCCTGTATTTAAAGTATACTCTCAGTAAATAAGCAAAAAAAGTGTCATTATGTGGTATGTCTGTTACAATGTTTGTCCAATGCGTTAATGTGACAATGTTACTCTAAGTTACTACAAATGTTAAAAAGCTGAAATTCTCTATAAAGAATGGTCTACCTCTTCTTAACCAGGTAACAGAGTCTCCTGAAGGTGAGTGACTGCTGCTAGTACATTGTAGTGGGTAAGAACACAGACCCTGGAGTCCAAACTGCCTGGGTCCGATTCTGAGCTCTTCCACTAACCAGTCATGCGTGAGCCTGGTCAAGTTACCTAACCCTTTTGTGTCTCCATTTTCTAGTATGTGAAATTAAAAAAAAAAGTCCTTGGGAAAGCAAAGAGGAATTCTGGATCACCAGCCAGGAGAATCTGTTCTTATTATAACCTTTTAAATCAGTTTTAGAGACTTACATAATTGTATCAAAATATGCTAGAAGCATTTCATGAAAATTCAGATATAAGGAAATCCTGACCACTAAAAGAAAATAAAAGAAAAAATAATAAATAAAATAAAATATTTTAATAATATTTAATAATACTTTAATAAAATAAAATAATAAAAGAAAAAATAATAAATTTGTCATTCATGTAAAATGTACATTCACCCAAATAGATTACCCTAGCTCAGTGAATAGGAAAAGCAAGCCTTATTACAACTTTGAATTTTCAACTAAATTTTTATTTAAAACTGTAAATGGGACTTTCTCTTTAAAGTCTTGTTTTTTTTTAAGAAGTTCAATGTTAGATTTGAATATTAGAACCATTCAATAACGAGAAAAAAAAATACATAAATAAAAGGTCTTCTGGTTTTTAATGGAATTTCAACTTAAATCAAGAACTGAAGACTCTCCAAATAGTTCTAGAACCAATGATACTGTAGTTGCATATTATACCAATGTTTCACCAGGTTACGTTTATTTTTCTATCTTGCAATTTAGATTCCACTTTTACTTTTCACTATTTCACCCTGAAATCTCCATATAGTGACTCATATGTAAGGATAATGCCACCTGAAGCGCAGAAGCATCGTGAAGATTGTAAGTGACGGGCTGCTATCACATAACGCAGTTCATTAGCCAGACACCCACACCCACACAACAGAGGTTATTAACAGCTCCCGTTAAAGATGTGACAGCTAAGCTCTGAACAGCCACGCGGCTCAATGCTGTCGAAGGGCTGGGCTCTGACCCCAGGTCGGTCTGACCACAAAGCGTGTCCTCTTTTTACTACAACCCAGCTGCTGCTCCTGCACCAGAGAGCTGGTTTTAAAGCCCTTTGAAACACTAACTCTAAATTAACACACACACCAAAAAAAGCCACAATATAGCCGTATAAATAAAGCCAGACTTTAAAAAAAACAGCACCAGTGATAAAGCACACACAGTGCAGTAAAAAATAATGAGTTCACATGCAAAGACAGAAAATGAAAGAAAATACGAACGGCAACTTAGAGACCAGCTTTACGTCCATAGTTTGGATTCTTGAAATTATTAATAGGACTCTTGTAAATCGGATTTTCTTGCTAAAGTAAAAGAAATAGTTTCTAATGATTTCATCAGAAAAAAAAATTGACATGTATAGTGTTTAACCACTACAAGAGAATTTTCACTATGTTATAAATTTTACTCTTATTCTTCCAAATATCATTATTTAAAAAAAAATGCAGTAAAATGCAAATGACTAAAATTCATTTATAATTTAAAATTACCAAAGACTGCCTTCTTGTGTCAAAAGATAAATACATGAAGGCCAACATTTGGCCACCTCACCCTTGGACTTCATATTTCAAAATACATTATATGCTAGCATAACATTCCACTCACAGCTTTTAAAAATTTTTACAAAGTTTATTAAGTTATAATTTGCAGAATGTTAAATATACCCCTTTTAAGTATAGAGTTGTACATACATACCCACAACCAGGATCATCCCAAGAAGATCCTTCATGCCCTCTCCCCCCCAACTCCAGCCTCTGGAAACCACTGATTTAGTTCTGCCCCTATAGTTCTGCCTTTTCCACAATGTCATATAAGTAGAATCATGAAATGTGTAGCCTTTTGAGTCTGGCTGCTTTCCATTAAGGTTCTTCATTAGAAAGGAGAGAGAGAGAGAGAGAGAAGTTTTCCACTGATTATCTTGCTACACAGGTAACATTATTTAGAATTCTATTTTACATGAGATGAGAAAAGGCAGAAGAGCAGATTTAAGATCAAAATTAGGAAATAAAAACAATGACCACAGTATTCAGAAGATCCTTTCTTAAAATGTTTTGTTTTAAGGGGATATATTTAAGATGTTATCTGCTTTTCACTAAATACAAGTTCTCTGAGTGACGAACTTCCGGAGAAATAAAATACTTAAAGAAAACTTTAATAATCAGTTTCAGAGTTAACAGACAAGCCTTAAAAGTGTTACATTTACTTTGTAAACCTCCTTACATTTTAGATGTTCTGCAACTTACCGTGTCCCATTTGGCATTCATTTTCTCCTTTTCAAATTTCGCAAATTCCCTTCTGTCATGAATTATCATTAAAAGCTTCCAAATCAGCAGCAATGCAAGGCCAATAAGAACAATGCCAGCAACCACGCCAGCTACAATTGGAATGATGTCTGGACCAGTGGGACACTCTGTAAAATAAAAAGGAAAGAGTGAGCCCACAAGGGATGATACATGCAAAATACGGCCCAAACTACAAAGACCTCATTAGTCTTGTATCCAAAACATATAGGAATAAAAACCCAAAATAAGTAAATGAAAAGAATTCTGAAGAATCTATAAAAAAGATTCTAGAACTAATAAGTGACTTTATAAAGCCATAGGATACATGATCAATAAATAAAAATTATATGTATTTCTATATATTATACAGAAGTTGATTTCTACATACTGGAAATTGAAATTTAGAAAATAATACGTTCTACAGTAGCATTGAAAATCATGAAGTACTTATGTACACATCCAACAAAATATGGGCAAGATTTGCATGCAAAAATTACTAAGCACTGATGAAAGAAATCAAAGACCTGAATAAATGCTAAGATGTCAATTCTCCCCCCAATTTGATCTACATAAACTCAGTGCAATCCCAATCAAAATCCTGGCGGGAGTTTTATAGATTATCAGCAAGTTAATTCTACAATGCACAAGGAAGGCAGAGAACTACAAAAGTGTTTCAAAAACACTCTGGAAAAGAACAAAGTTGGACATCTCATTGTCACCAGATTACAAGACTAACTATGAAGTAACAGTAATTGAGATAGTGTGGTATATTGGCGAAAGGTCAGATGCACAGATTAATGGAACAGAATAAATAATTAGAAATAGGCCATCATACATAAGATCATCTGATTTTTCAACAAAGGTAGAGAAGGGTCAATCTTTCCAACACACAGTGCTAGAAATACTAGACATCCACATGCAAAAAACCGAATCTCACTCCATACACTAAGATTAACTCAAAATGAGTTATAGACCTAAATGGAAAACCAGAAATTATAAACCTTCTAGAAGAAAACACAGGAGAGAAGTCCTTTTGATCCTGAGTTAGGCAAAGAGTGCTAATGTAATAGTAAAAGCAAGATCCATAAAGAAAAACTCGGCAAACTGTAGTTCATCAAAATTAAAGCTTCTTTTAAAAAACACTTAAAGGGTGAAAAGAGAAGGAAGCATTAACTGGTAAACAATATTTGTCAAACACATACCTGGAAATGCAAAACAATACAGAAACTTCAAAAACACAGTTCGCCTATTTCTTACAAAGTTAAACATATGCTCACCATATACACCGAAATCCATTCCTACTACACTTCCAAAAGAAATGAAAATTTACATTTCACAAAAACCTGTATACAAATGTAGAAAGAATATACAAAAAAGTGCCTATAAAAATCAAAATAAAAAATATTTCATCTTCTGAGAAGCTGAAAAAATTCATGCTTTACAATATCCTTTAACAAATTATCTTTCCCAGTAGTACCTAAACCTAAATCAACCTCAAACTTAAGCATCATCAATAATGATCTAAGTCCTAGTAAGTTCCTGGTTCCTAAGAAGAGTCAGGCAGTATGCTGAGTGTATGCTGAGTGCTCTATGTGGATTCACGCATTTAGTCTTCAAACTCTCCACTGATAACACTTACGACCTGCTTTCTCTTTTTCTTATTTCTTATATAGTTAATAATACTATTTTAAGCTTTGAGATTTAAACTGCCTTTACTTGAACCTAAAATAATCCAGCTGGAGGCCATCACTGGGTGTTAGGGAAAATGCCAAGAGGCGTAAGTTGTAGCAAAAGAAGAAAAAAGGAAAAGAAAAGAATGTAAAATGATCAGATTTTTACCCGGAGTCTCTACAACATGAACGATGGCCTCATTGTTCCCATTTACTGAGTATGTGAAATAGAACCAGCAGTCGTCAACATCCTTCTCCTTACAGTGGGACAGGGGATCAACCTGGCCTGGCTGCGGTAATTTGTCCCGATTTTCAACCTTGGTGATGTTGAAATGTGAACATTCCTGTGCACATGTGTCTTTCTTTTCTCCTTTATTGAAGGCTCTGCACTGAACACATTCTCTGTGAAAATACAAATTATATTAAAAAAGGTATTTAAAATTTAAAATGAGTATTTGCTGAAAGACTATTTCGTGTGAATAAATGGGAGAGGCACAGGACACTGCTAGATGGAAAAATTAAATATAAAAATGCTCATTTCCCCCGTGAAATTACATAGTACAGTTCAAACTAAAATCCAAAAAGAGGAGTTAAAAAGTAGTAAAATAAAAATAGCCTTATCAGACATTATAAATGCACAGCACAAACCAAAATGACTTAAACAACGCGTTGTTGGTACAACCGTTCTTCAAAAGGCAAAACCTTCAATTTTGCTTAGTTTAGTCAAGAGATAGTAATTAGACAAGTGGTAAGACTAATTCACAAAGGTTACCCTGTGGAGTCAACGACACAGCCAATTCGGACCAAAACGATGGCACCAACTACTCTCCTATGACACACTTAAGTATCATACAACAAATGCCAGCGACTGAGAAAGGATTTTTAAGACTCAGAGCGGGCCACCATGTGTCAGAGATTTTATTTCCAGTATGACCGAATATCAGTACTATTCTGGTTCTAGTCTAATACTACACAGTTAGGTCAACAGACAGCAAATACTGTTTCCGGCACCCGGGAAAGACTTACTTATGTTCCGCACAGACACCGAGGCAGGTCTGACACATCTCACAGGTCGGCCCTTGGAACTTGGGGTCGGTGCACTTACAGGCGCCACACTCGCAGACGCCCCGGCCATTGCAGATCTGTCCGTTCGTGGCCAGGCACGAAGTCGTGTCCAGAGAACAGTCACAGGCACTGCCAGTGTAGTTGGGGTTGCACTCGCACACGCGACACTTGCAAACACCATTTCCTGGGATTAAGAATATCATTTCTCACAACAGTGGTAAAGATATCAACCCTGGCACCGACTTCAAAGTCAAAAGAAGCAGTAATGTAGAAGAACACGTAGCTAAGGATACATGGACCCTACAGTGCTGCCCTTTTCCTACTTATTCACCAAGCAAACTCCTGATGCTTTTTTATTGTATTAGATGGGATCACACTTTAGAATCATTTTCAGACCCTTTTCTCACCTCCACAAATTAAGCCATTGGATCTATCGCAGTTGAAATTATCACACTCGCAGAATTTTCCAGAATAAATTTCATTTGTATTATCTCTCTTCCTACAAACACACTGTCCACAGACACACTCTCCATTGTTGCTACAGATTTCCGAACTGTTTTCTTTCCTGCAGTAAGCATCCATATCTTCACTGTTCACTTCATCCGTGCTACATTCGCAATGTCTACCAACTCGGCCCTCGTTGCACCTAAAGAAAGAACTCAAAATCTCAATCACATAAAGTAAAAATTTAAAATAAGAAGTCATACTGCGAGAAAGATGGGGAGAGGAAGCAAGACTGTGAACAGTATCTTCAAAATACAATTATATTACATGGGAGTGTTCACACCACATGTCACAGACATGTATGAAAGTGTTCATATGTGCACACGTGTGTGTGTGCATGCACCAGCTAAGTTCACATGGAATATATGCAAGAGACTAGGGGAAAAAAATGTCTTCAGGAAAATAACCATTTTGATCAAGATGAAAATATCATCTAGCACTGAACAGGTAAACAAAACATTTGGAAATATAGGAGCAACTTACTTTAAAAGAATATGTTAGAATCAAATGATACGCTATCACATTTGGTATTATAGATGAAGCATCTCTAAATTTAAAGCAATGGTCCAACCATTAATCTAAAAAAGTACAATAAACACACCCCAAAAAGTGCATAAAAGTTAAAGAAAAACATACTGACCATAGCATTTAAAAATATACTATTTAAAAACAGGTACATCCTATGGGTCCAGACTTTTCAGACACACTGTATTTTTTGAACACCCAAGGGTTATAGACACTGGAAATATAGTAATTCTGTATCTGGAGAATATGTAAAGGGGAGGAAGGCAAAATATTGTTTTTTTAAAGATTTATTTATTTTAGAGAGAGCGAGCATGGACGCAGGCCCGCAGGCTGGGGGAGGGGGGAGTGGGAGAAAGAGGGGAACCTTAAGCAGACTCCCCACTGAGGTTGGATCCAACGCCCCTAGGCCTCAACCCCAAAACCTGAGACCATGACTGGAGCTGAAATCAAGAGCTAGCCGCTTAACCGGCTGAGCCATCGGGCATCCCAGGAAGACAAGACATTTTTAAGATTTTTTAGTTAATGAATTTTACTAAAAATGGATCTACATGACTCAATCAGGATACATATAACATAAAAAAGTAAAATGTAATATTTAAATTGTTATTTAGAATAGACAACTAGTAACTGATGGTGAAATCCAGCCATTTATTTTTCTCATGGTTAAAAACCCTTCAACGCCTAGTCATTTGGGGCTGACATTTAGATCAAAATACTCTCCCCTTCCTCGGATCTTTCAAGGAGAAAGCTATATTCAGAATCTATTCAATTTTAATTTTTAATTAAAAGGTAACCACAAACCACAGTGTAAAAATTTTTTAAATGATTCAATTACAGTTTTGTTAGTAGATTTCATGTTCAGAAAATTGTTTTTCTTTTTACTTTCACAAAACATATTTGTTTTTAAAAAATTATTCCAACAATGCAGAAGTACATGCACAAGGTAAACACCCTTCACTGCTTCCTGGTTCCACTTCCCAGATAAAACCACTGGAAGTTTGATATATCTTCCTAAAACCCTTTCTGTAAATGTATTTTATATAAGCTTATTTAGCTCTAGAAAATTCAGGTTGCTATTATATGAGGGGAAAAACCCCAAAGCTACCTTAACAATATGTTAAATGTATGTCTTAGATGGCTATAAAATCTTTTATTTGAAAGAACATCTTGACAAAAAAGAAGGGAGGGAAAAACTTTCTATAAATACCACACAAGATTCTCAAACTAATCTCATGGTGAGCAGCACTGGTTGAAACAAAGAATTTACTTGCTCTAAATAGATTTTTTTCTGGATTTCTCAAAAGAGCCTGCCCACAACTTTCTAAACCTAATATACCTCTCTCTCTCTGTCATCCTCCAACAACCTCAGCTCACCTGCAAGCTCCACACTCGAACGTCCCATTTCCTTCATGACACTTTGGACTGCTAGGGATGCCTTCACTTTGGCATTCACATTCACAGATGAACTCAAGAATAACTTCTACTTCTTCAGTAAAGCCTAGAGGCTTAATTTTAATGGTTTCAGAATTCTTATTTGGACATTTATTTGAAGTTATGCTAATTTCAAATTGAACCTTGAAGGAAAAAAACAATTAAATTAACCACTAACTAGGCAATTTAAATCTGCTAAAAAATATTTCAAAAAGCTCAATTCTTTTACTGTTTCTCAAATTATAAACTAGATTTGCTTATAAACAAGCAATTTTTTTTCTTTTCTTCAGAAAAATGCTTATATAACTTACCTCATCTCCAATGGAAATATTGGAACATTTTCTTCCATTCTCCCCAGTTCCGTTCACCCCATTCTTACAGTAAGATTTGTAATTTATTGTTACTCCTTCTGGCAACTTGCTATTTTCCAAAATGACTTCTGAGGATAGGGACTGAAAGAAAGACAACAAAATGCTACTATAAAGTATCCTGAATGCATAAAACCAATGGGCAAAATAAACTACTAAGAAATGTTATTATTTAAATAAAAGATTTGGAGCCAAATCCTGAATGACCAGAAAACACACGACCACAGAGAAACGGGCTCAAGTCAAAATTCTTCAAAATACTGTACATGATTAGAAAGTAAGATGGAGGGCTTGGGTGCCTCAATCTTAACTCGAAGGCTCAGACCCTTAACTGTAAGTGTCTGCCTTCCGCTCAGGTCATCTCAGAGTCCTGAGATCAAGCCCTGCATCGCGCTCCCTGCTCAGCAAGGAGTCTGCTTCTCCCTCTCCTTCAGCCCCTCACCCTTGCTTGTGCTCTCTTGCTCTTAAATAAAACCTTAAAAAAAAGGAATATTTGTGCTTAATTATTGCTGATCATACAGTAAGAAAAGTCTTGATATTAAATACGAGGAGTCCTAAGAATTCAGAACATATTGCTCCATTGGCAATATGGCTCTCCTCTGGCCCTACCACTTCCAGCCAACTAAGGACACAGGTAAACAACAGACTATATAGTCTAGGAACAAATCTGTTTAGGAGCCATTACAGACCAGGCTCCCCAACCCCCCAGCCAAGAAACTACACACATAAAATAACAACAACAACAACAAAATTCACACAAACCCAAAACCCCAAGTACAAAGGATTCAAGCCAGTGCATTTTTTTTTAGAATATCAGAAAGCTCAAGACAAATGGAACAGGGTTAGCGGCAAGCTGTCTCTTGTTCACATACCTACATGCATGTGAGTTAGGAAAATACTGCAATATTCTGTTGAGATGGAGAACAACTATAGGGAAGACATGGAACAATTGAGAGTCTTGAAAATCTTTGTAATAAAAAACCCTCTCTGAGTAGGATCTCTTTGAGTAGGGTCTTTCCAAAACATTTTGGGAAACCGTCCTCAGCATAAGGTAAAAAGTATCTAAAATTCAACCTGTCAAAAGGTTGAGGGGTAGACACATAATGTGTACAATATTACAAATGTCTTCTGACTACTTAAAATGATTATTCACCAATGCTTAACGAGAATCACTAAACGTACTCTGGATTAGAGCTCTAGACAATTCAACTTCCTTCCGTGTGTGAGGGAAGAAAAAAATTTTATCAATCTTTCTAAAATTGCCAAGTCACATATATATATATATTTAGCTATGTACATATTTTATGGCAAATGTATATATGAGTGCCTCTGTATCTCTTAAGAATAGAAAACTGTATCTCTGAATCCATGGCAAAAGAAGAACTGGCAAAAAAGCTTTTCCAGAACAATTCATCAAAAGAGATGAATCTAGACTGGGGGAGGGGGGAGGAGACGGAGGTAATCTTTTAAGTCTAAATGTAAGTTATGTTTCACTTGTTTTCCAACAAGGAAACCTACTTAATAACAACAAACAGACATTTAGAAACCTTCCCCACATGCCTTTAACGTATTTTTGCTTTGTTTAGGTTACGTACATAATTCTGCTTCTGTAAGAGAATATAAGTGGTTTTTGCTCCAGATACACAACATGTTAGTTTTACGTTGTCCTCGGGGCTTGCTAAATCGTGTATGAAGGGACATTTACTTTCTCTGGGCAAAGTACACTCAACAGGGTATTGTTTAAAAGAGATCTTATGCAGAATGTACTTACATTGTAGGCATCAATAATCAACTGAATTACGTTGCTGGAATTTGCAGATAATGTTCCTACTGCTGACTTAGGGATCAAATTTTTCAGTTCCTGAAATTAAAAGATAATACCTGTGAATAAAAACACTATTCATTCAACCGATGAGCACTGACTGAATATGTAAAATACTGAAGTACAAGCACCCTAGACAGTCTCTAAATAACTTAAGGAGTCAAACCTGAAAAAAACTAGTCTTAGATGTAATTAAAAATAGAAAGCACTACTGTAAAATCCAGTCTGTCTGGCTAGTAACACTTTCCTATATTTCAATCAGACATATATTTTGTTTCTAATGACTAGACACGAGGGCTCTAGAAATTGGTTCCTCTTTTTATCCACACACATATACTTACCTTGTAAACAGGCTGAAATTCTTCTGTAACTGCAAAAATTGTCTGAATGTTATTTTCACTTAGTTTCTGGACAAGGTGAGCAATAGAAGGATAATCCTACAAAATTAAATAAAATTTAGTATGTAATTACATCCAATGTATTCCAGTTTTTCAATACTTTTTCAAAATGATGATTTGCATATTTAATTGCATTGCTTACACAAGCCTGCTTGAAATAACACAAATAACTGCTGAGGTGGGAGGTGTGTACATGTGGGTTTCTAATCTTCTATCTTCATATATATACACACACACACACAAATCAACTTCCACAATAAAAAGGTATTAAAAAGCAAGATCTATGCTTATTAAATGTTAGAACAATGAAATTAAAGAACTGCCAATAACTATAGGTTATATCATGAATCACCAAAATTCACCAGGTTTAGACTTCTAGAATTTGAATAATTTGCCAGTCTTTGTTTTCCGTAAAACCAGAGTGCCTACTTCCAAAAATCTTATATAAATAAGATGAGGAGTATTGGACTATACAAATCATCTGTATGGAAATAATACCAAATTTGCTACGAAATGATGTGTGCAAGGGAGAAGACACAGCGATGGGCGGAGGCACGGAGTGAGAGTGTCCAAGCAGCTGCTTTCACCTATTGAGGCCCTTGTCTATGTAGCAGGAAACGAGCACAAAACCACATCTTCAGACACAGACACTAGCTTCCTTGCACATTAAGTTAGGGCCTGTACTTACCTAAATAACAAACCCACAAGCCAATCGCCCACACTATATTTAGTATTAAACACCAAAATCCCACACAAATCCATTTAATATGTAAGGAATTCAGCACTCACATAATAATGGCTCATTGTGTACATATCATTTTCCAGGTGACACTGTCCATCATTTGGTAAAACAATGCCACCAAGTTTGCCATCTCCGGCAAAGTGAAACCCAGCATCCGTGGAAAACACCAGCAGTCGTGTAACATTCCTCCAGCCGATCAAGGACTTGAAAAGAAAGATTTCGGTTTATAAATCCTATCCACAATCACTGTGCATGAAGCTGTCATCCTCACATAGGCTCCCACTGCACTTTTAACCTCATCCTAGACCTTCCCCGTAGCTTGTCTTTTTGCGGTGCTGACATCTGTACTGACACCTGCACAGAGACCATGACAGAGGGCTCCTCCATCCCCCAGGAAAACTGTGTCTTGCTTGGTTGCCCATTTCTCTCAGCTCTTTTTAAAAAACTGTATCTTTTAAAATCAATGTCTCCCTCCCCGAGCAGAGGGTAAGCTCACTGCATGTGTGGCATCGTACCTCCAGGAGCCAGCACAGGGCTCGACACACAGCAGGTGTGTAACGGGTGCATAAAATGTCTCAGCCCATTCCGTACTTCACCCTACTGCTACTCCATGTTCCCATCCATCCTTCACCCTGCTTTTAGCTTCAAAAGTATATACCTCCTTTATCAAGCCTCCACATTAGGCCTTCTTTTTTTTTTTTTAACTACAGAAGAAATGATCTTCTCCCAAGACCTGCCCTGCTTAATGCCACCCACCATGCCTCATCGGTACTATTTATTTGTTCTCGTACTTTTTTCTCCTCCTCATTCAACAAAGGATTTAAAGTAGCAATAAAGGGGCACCTGGCTGGCTCAGCTGGTAGAACACGTGACTCCTGATGTAGGGGTTGTAAGCCCCACTTTGGGTGTTGAGATTACTTAAAAAATAAAATCTTAAAAAAACCCAATAAAGTAGCAAAAAAATCCTTTTCTCTCTATGGTCAATTTATATTTGTCTAAATGTACTCAATCCATCTGTGTATAGCCCCATAATACTGTAAATTCCTTGAAGGCAAGAATGGAGGGTGCTGATGCTGGTGATCCAAGCATTAGGATACCGCGTCTAGAGAAGCAGGCAGAACGGTTGCTCTCAGTCAGCATGGTAAACACAGAAGGATGGCAGCGGCCGTGGGTGCTATGGCTTGTTTTAATCCCACAGACTGAGGCACAGATGGAGGCAGCCCAGAGAATGTTCTCCCCACACTGAGCTGCTAACAGGATCATGAATCAATAGCTCCAAGAGAAGGGTGGCAGGCTAGGCACTACCTGGAATATTAGTCTTTCTTCCCCATTAAAAGCAGAGGCTACCCTTGGACAACTGTCCCAGGGAGAAATCAAAATAAACTAATACAGGGGTGCCTGGGTGGCTCAGGCCTCTGCCTTTGGCTCAGGTCATGATCTCGGGGTCCTGGGATAGAGCCCCCCGTTGGGCTCTCTGCTCAGCGGGGAGCCTGCTTCCCCCTCTCTCTCTCTGCCTGCCTCTCTGCCTACTTGTGATCTCTGTCAAATAAATAAATAAAATCTTAAAAAAAAAAAAAAAAAAGCCTCTGCCTTCAGTTCGGGTCATGATCCCAGGGTCCTGGGATCGAGCCCCGCATTGGGCTCTCTGCTCAGCAGGGAGCCTGCTTCCTCCTCTCTCTCTGCCTGCCTCTCTGCCTATTTGTGATCTGTCTGTCAAATAAAATCTTTTAAAAAAAATTAATACAGTACTTAATATTTGCAGAGAGCTTCCTGGAACTCTATATGCATTACCGTATTTAAGCTTCCTAACAGTCCTAGTCTATCTTTAACTATCCCTTGTCATGGAGAAGGAAACCTCCAGTGGGACTAAGTACATTGTCCAGACTCGGCAGCAATGGGACAATGTGAAACAGTGTCCTAACAGTCTAAAAACGGTTCTCTCAACCACTACAACCGTATTGTTAAACCACATCATTATCTTGGATGTAGCTGCACCTTAGCAAAAACTGGTTGAGGAATAATCATTAAAAAGCACCTGGAATCAGGGAAGGTCTTCTAGGGAACAGGGATACCACAAGGAAAAAAAGGGGGGGAATGAGACAGAAGTAGGTACTTAAGACAAACCTTATCTACCTCACAGCGCTCTCTAGTTTGAGCTGCAGCCGTGTCATGAAAACGTGACCTCAAAATCTTCAGCTGCTAAATAGGTCATAAAATACTACCACTAGTCTAATAGAGACAAACATGCCGCTACTAAAAATCTTCCAATTAAAATGATTACTAAGCTACGACTTCTCAACATCTAGCTCTCATACAGCTTACAAAGTAGGATGCAAAAAGTTCCTGCTTTTTGAGTCACTAAGACACAGGGAAGACATCCTTCAGAGGTGACAGGCAGAGCAGAGCCCACCGAAAGGAAATGGCACCTGAGACACTGTTCTAGCTGGGCTCTCTCGGTGCTCCGGGTCACAGCTTGGCCAAGCACAGCTGCACCTCTGGCACAAGCCGGAGTCAGGACACCTGCACCTCTTCTAAAAACCTAGAAGACCAGCCAAAGTACAACTACACAGCCGCACTGTTTCAAATGGTGAGCGTGCTGGCTTTTAAGAGCCTGTAGAAATGAAGGAGCTGCCCAGCTGCAAGAGGGGACATAATGATTAAATAAGCTTTTACAAAGCACCTGTGTAGCTGGAAGGAATTTAAGGGATCAAATTCTGTACTCCTCTGAGATCATGAAGTATGATTTGGTAAGCAGGTAAGTTTTTCCATCCTCACCGATCGTAAAATCACACTTATAATTCACACAAGTAATGTCCCTTTGTAGGAAATGAATGCACTTACTCCACAAACCGCAACTTGCATGATGGCATCAAAGCCACCTTCGGGAGAATCCAAATTTCCAGATATGTGCTGTTTACCAACAAGTTCATTAAATACTTCCCCTTTATCAGTAAGACTAAGCACATTTTTGTAGCTAAATGGGCTGGTGCAGTTCTGTTCACTTGTGCAAGGGTTCCTCAGCTTGGCTGGTGTTGTACTAATATAAGGCATCACAGTTTTCTCCACAAATGAGCCAAATCCTGTGAAGGAAAAATGCATATAGAGAGATGGATAGATGGATGGGCAGGCAAACTTGCATTAAAAGGAATAAAGTTATGTTACCACATGTACATCAATCTTCCATAAGAAATAAGATTTTAATAACAAAGTTTGAAAAGGAGATCATTATAATATGAGAAATCCAGGGCTAAAGAGAGATTAGGCTGTACAGACAGGTGTGGTCATATTAATTAGTAATGAAACAGAACTGGAATACTCAGCATGCTTAAAAAGTAATTCAACAAATGAATGAGTATGCTCCTATGAAAACAAGCATGCATTTCATTATCTACGTGATATAATCTGTGTTAAGCAATATGACAGCATAAAGTAAAAGAGGAACAAGGAGGCACAAAAACTGCAGATATGTGACAGGAATATCAGTTTCCCCTCAGAAAGAAAAGGCTAAAAACTGGCCTATTTATTTCACAAGTATACAGTGAAGAACAAAACTGCCAGGACTTATACAAATGAAAATTATGAATGTTCCCAATAATCCTACCAATTCGGAAGTCTGAAGTAATCCTTCTCATTTCATTCATGAGATCCGTTCCGAGACTTTTAACATTCTCCAAATCATCTTTCATAGAGTAGGAGAGGTCCATAAGGTAGTAGAGATCAATAGGATAGTCTTCAGCTCTCTTAAATTTTAACGTAAATATCTGTGGCTCCCCTAATTAAGCAGAGATTAGAAAATGAAGTTAGTTGCCAGCAATCAGAAACAAATGAGGAAAAGCAAACTGGATTTACAAACTGTATTATTGCCATAACTTTTACAAGATCCTGGGAAGTCCACTGGCTAACTAAACGGGTGTGTACTCAACAAACACTTACCATGCCAACCCTGGGCATGCAAGATGAAAAGGACAATACTCCACATGGGCAAGACAGACAGACAGCTGACTTAGAACTATGACCAAGGACAACAAATAGATGGGAGAGCACGCATCAGACTGGGGTGGGTGAGGCAGGGCGCACTACAGCGTGCACCTGACCTTTTAGAGACCAAAAGTTCTAAAAACAGTTTATTCTCTGTTTATATACGTAAGTGAACAAGATCATCTGATTTTTACTTTCAAAAACATGGCAAAAAAAAAAAAAAGTTTTAAAAATGAATTACAGAGACAAGAGACTTGTTGAGAAACTACTGCAAAACTCTAGAGGAAGACAGGAAGATCCGAACCAAAACCATAAGGAATAAGAAGCGGAGAGAGACACAAGAGGCGTTAAGGTAGAATTTGCTCAGGAAACAGAGGAGAAAGAGAATGTCTGGGTGAAAAAAATCATTGCATGTTAACTTGCAGATATTCTCTATACAGATTTCTAGTACGCAGCTGGGTGAATGGGTTTGGGGCTTAAGAGAAAAGGCTATGTTACAGTACACAGATGGTTTTAATGCCATGAGAGAAAACCAACAATGAACTGGACTGCAAAGAGGAAGGAAGTAGAAAGACACCAGAAGGAGACTGGAAAGCAATGTTAAGAGAGAAGAAGACAAACCAGGAGTGATGTAAGAGCCAAGAGGGAGCATTTCAAGAAGTTCAAAGGTGTTACTTGGTACAAGAAGGTTAAGGGGAGGGCGGGGGGGAAGGGCCTGACAAGAATCCATGAGGTTTGGTGGTTCAAGGTGAAGGCAGAGCTTTGTCAGAAGAGGTTGAGACGCAGGCTGAACAGTGGTCAAGAGGGGAACTCATGGAGACAATGACTCTGTACCATTCTTTTCAGAGAAAAGGGACGGACACTGGAAAGAGCAGGAAAAGAGCTTGTTTTCTTTTTTCTTTTCTTTTTTCAATGCAAGACTATCAGAGATTCTTATAAAAGTTTAATATGTTAATAACATTAAACATATACAAAGGAAAAACACGAGTTAGAACAGTGTGTTTATATTAGGTAATTGTACCACAGGATGGACACTTTTATTTTTAAAACCCATTAAATATAATACTTTCTCTTTCACAGAATTTCCTTCAGATATTAGGCAAACTTCATTATTTCAAGTATATGTGTCTAACAAATTGTTATGTCTGCAAAAAACTTCTAAAATTTGACATATTCCACATTTCTGTTTGAGTGCCGGTCCATATGCAAAAATGAACCCTATAAGGAAAACTCAAAAGAGGCTTACATAGTCGTCAAGATCTCCAGCTGAAATAAAAGTTGTCATACAAGTAGATTTCTGTACCTGATCGTAATTGCAAAACCAACTGCTGAGGTTGGATCTGAGTAATATCTTCTGGCTGGAGCTTCTCTGCTGTTCCTTTGCTACGGTTGGTTACATTTTTATTTTTCTTTATATCTTTGGAGCCTCTGGGATTTTCTATGTCATCTGGATGGCAACCCTTCTTTTTTAAAGCTTCTAAATCATCACACCGTGCAGAAGTAGGCATTCCTTCTTGTAAAAATGTCTAAGTGACATACAAAATATAGGTATAAACAATAAGTATAATGGTCAAACATTTTGAATAATCATAATTGCGTATGTGCAATTAGAATGCAAAAAAATCAAGTGACACAACTAACATACTTCATTTCTGGTTTTTAAACAAAATGGTCCCTTCACCCCAATCATATGCTCTTCTTTTAAAAAAATGAACTCATTCTCTAGAAGAGTAATTCCTTTATAATTACTATATTACTAGTAATGAATTACTTTAGTACTATAGGGTTGACCTAAGTGTACATTTTAACTGTCCCACCTTCAAATTCAAAGTATCTAAATCAAAGAAATTCCTCAGTGAAAATCACACAGTCAGCATGCTTAATGGCCACTAATAAATAATGTATATACCCAAATACCAGACAAATATTTTTTTCCCAAAATTTCCCTTAAAAAAGTCCTATATAAGTCTCTCATATCATGCAGCATTCTCCTCACATTATTTTGAACAACTTGGTGTTTAGGGAAAACATATTAGCCTGGAGGTGTTTCAGTGAATGATGCAATTTTTAAAAAGGAGACTGAGAAATTTAACACAGAGGTAGTAAGTATTCCTGGAGACATGAAAAAATTTCAAGTGTTGGTTATTACTTTAAATAAGGCTTTTAAAATTCATTTTGAAAAACAATAATCACAGTGGTGATTACATGACAATACAAAACAGTAATCATTAAAATCTGATCACATGATACGGTCATGAGTATATTTCCATAGAGTGCATTTTAAAAGTATAAAAATAAAAAAGGTCTGAGTGCTATATAAACGCTACTTGTGGCTTGGGGTAAAACTTCCAGTAGTGATATGATTTCAAAATGTGTTATAGCTCCAACTTAGATGGAAATAAAAATTTTATCAGATGACTGAAGAAGTATCTTAGTGAAAGCAAAAACACTGTTGTTAAGATGTATGCAAAACCTTTGAATAAAAGTTTTTCATGAAATGTGAGAGTGGAGAAAAACAATGGCATTAGTGTGTGGGTATGTGTCACTTTTAAATGTGTACCTATAGTAATCAATTATTATTACAGACATGTGAGTATTTCACATATATCCCTACAAATTTTATATGTAGTTATATAAGCCAAAGATTTTTTTTTTTTTTTTTTAAATCTTGACACTGGGAAAATAAGGAAATGCCTTTTCTCTGAGGTCACTTTGTGTTCAATTTTATATGTTATTTTTTCATGCCTAAGTGAGGATATTTAAATACAAGAATACACAATGGTTTTAATCAGTTATTTTGAAGGGAAACAACACTAATGAGAGCATTTATGGAATTAGAAAAACTAAAGGGAATACAAAGGGTCAGATAGTTCAAAGCTGAACTACTTTTACATATCATCAAACCTAAAATACAACACCAAAGCACAGGAGCCTAGCGCAGAAATTTTCAAGACCGTAACTCAAATAAAATTTCACTAAACACATTCCAAAATCATGCCACAAATTTCAAAGACTAAATTACTTAAAGAACAGTTTGGCAAGTTAAGCCCTTCCTGAGACAAACTGAATTCCAGAATACCATTTTTAGGAGAAGAAAAGTATCACTGGAAAAATTTTGAAGTAACAAATGAAAAACCTCTGATTTTGTCTTTTGTATGGTAAAACCATACTAAGTATCTGATATTTAACCAGTTTAGTTACACCTACAAAGCAGCTGAAAAGTATGAAGTCCAACTGCCTGAGTAAAAATCAACAATAAACCTTTGAGCTTCTGATATTATTCACTCTAAGAATAAATTATTTATCTTCGAATGACTTCCCAGTACTTCCTGGTCTGACACTCATTCACACATTTATTTATTTAACATTTAGTAGGCTTTGTGAAAGAATCAAGTTAAGCAATGTACACAGATGACACGAGTGAATAAAATTTAAACCCTAACCTGAATGGGTTTTTATTTGGGATGCAAATCAATCCTATATTAGTTCTAACTCAGATATAATTAGTAAGATTAGCTTACACCTCTCCCGGAAAAAGAAAAAAAATATATACCTCTAAAACAAATTAAATGGCTAGGGATTTAGAGAAGCTATTATAATAGAAATATAATGCATTTATAATAGAAATATAATGCATGCCACAAAGGTGAGCTATATATGTATTTTAAAATTATCTAGGAGCCACATTAAAAGAAAAAAGAAACAGGAAATTAATTTTAACAATATATATAAAATGTTACCATTTCAACATTATTAATGATTTTTTTTCATCATTAAGTCTTCAAACTCCAGGATACATCTGAGGCTTAGAGCAATTCTCAATTTGGACCAACGTGGAACACGTTTCAAGTGCCCGACAGCGACATGGGCCTAGCGGCTATTGAATTAAACAGCTCACCTCTACACCATCACATAGTTGATACCTACTCAATAAACATTCAGTAAAAATTCTTATCTAACATTTCCCAAGGATACAATATTGGACCATAGTAAATGACTAGAGAGTAAACAGAAAGGCCTTGAACAATTTTACTTACTGAATTCGTACACCATCCGCAATTTGGCCCTGCTTGTATACATTCTCCACATGATTTGGCATTTGCTTTTAAACATCTATTTTCATCTGTCAGGACGAAGAATAAACAACTTTACTTGAAGTTTCAAGAAAGAAAATAATGAAAAATGACTAAAATGACAAAATACAACACATATAAACCTTACGTATGAATAACACAACATATGTCATGTATTGTTACACATTATATATTATAAATATGTATTACATTATATTAATAACATATAAAAATTGTTAATACACTGATCAGAACTACCCCAAAGAGGTGATGTTACATTACCTTGGCATAGAGAGCCATGAAAAGATAGCTAACTTTCTTGTCTTCTATAGCAAAGACTAGGTATCGGTACCAATAATCTATACATTCTTCCTTTCTTCAAAGGCATAATTTTAGGATCTATTATGTTGGATGGTCATAACTATCTGGAGTTTCTTACAACTGCGTAAAATATTATTTCCTTTAAGTCATACTACCACACCCATACCCACAAAAGCATCTGCAAAAGATTTCCCTTCATTTTTAAGAAGTTAAATACTTAAAAAGCCCATATTCATCCAGTCCACAATCCCATGATTTTTCAGGCTCTATGTGGTAAGAATGTCTCACATTTCTTTGAATCCACCTAAGGATTGGCATGCCTTTCATGTGGTAAAAGCACTAACATGGACTGTCTCCAATGTGTCTGCTCTGATTATAAATCTAACATAGATTCAAAATAAGAAAATTTGCAAAATACATAAAAGCATAAAGAACAAATTCAAAATCACCCATAATCTACTCCCTAAGGGATAACTACTGCTAACAATTTTGTATATTTCTTTCCAGTCCTTTTTCTATGTAGATAAAAAAAAAAAAGCAAGGAAGTACACATATAGACATTATTTAAATAAACTGAGAATATACATTTTGCATACTATTTTTATACTTTATCCTAAGTGTTTCATTACCAATTCTTTAAAAAATGGCTCTTGATGATTATATATTTCATTATCTTAATGTGTCCTATTTGATGTTGGACAAATTTAGATTGTTTCCATTGCATGCATGCGTAGTTTCCACACATTTGCTCACAATGCACACATGAACCTTCCAAATACATGTATACACATATGTGCATATACATGCACCCTTCTGAGGACCATTCTCACAGTGGAAAACTCCGATCCTTTCCTTAGCACAAACTAAAAAGGAGAATACTTGAGTTGGAGAGTATTCATGTTTTTAATATTCTCAGTATACACTAATTTCTATCCAGAAGAAATATTCAAATTTATAATCCTACAAGCAGTATACAAATACCATTTTCACCAAACCTTCGACAAACACAAAGTACTTTTTTAATATAAAAAATCTTTTACTCATTTAATGCATATAAATATCAATTCTATTGTCAGTTATTTAAGTTTCACTTTTATCAGATTTTACTGACCGTATCTTTTATACATTTTGTTTATATCTTTAGCAATTTTTTTTTCTGTCATGTTTATCTATTTTTACTGGATCTCAACACATGCTAATCAAATTAAACCTCTGCTTAGTTTCTCATCTTATTGATGGTGTTCTGACATCCAGACACTTTGGGTTTTCATGTTGTTGGTTTTAGGTCATCAACTTTATCAATAATTTCCTTTAAGGTTTTTCTTCACTTTTCCATGTAGTTAAGTCCTTCTTATTCTAAGATCAAATAATTGTTCTATGCAATGTATTTTCTGAAATTTGGAGAAGAGAACTGCACATCCATTATTCCAGATGTGGATGCACCATGGTTTGTAAGAGGATTAAATATATTTTTTGGCTTTGTTTCATTCCTCTTCTAGATCATGCCAACATTTTGCAAGACTTTTTTTTAAAGATTTTATACTTATTTGACAGGGAGAGATATAGCAAGAGAGGGAACACACGCAGGGGGAGTGGGAGGAGAAGCAGGCTTCCCGCTGAGCCCAATGGGAGCAGGGAGCCCAATGCCGGTGATCCCAGGACCCTGTGATTCTGACCTTTTCCAAAGGCAGACACTTAATGACTGAGTCACCCAAGCGCCCCTTTGCAAGACTTTTTGATCAAGAGTAAGAACATCTTCTAGAAAGTGAGTTGTTCCTGGTTTCATTTTTTTAGATAGTAATGGTTTATTTATAATCCACCATTTTACACACTCACTTTATTTTCTTCTAAATGTGTTACACACCTTTGCTTTCTCTATGCTCACTTCAACACTCTATTACAGTCTTAAAAGACCTTTCTGTTGTGTTTTGTATTCCTACCACTTCAGCATTTCCTTAGCCGGCCCACCCTGTCACTGTTCTGGGTGGCAGCAATGGGCTGGATGTTGAAGGGTCTCGCAGGCCACTCTAAGAACCTTTACCCCAAGTGAAATGCGGCCCTTGCACAGCTTTCAGAAGGAGCAGTATTTTGCGGTTTACACTTGCTCAAGAATCTAATTGGTCAAAAAGTAATACAAAACACTAAAATGAAAAGACAACTGAAAACTTTTTTTTTTTTTTTTACCTGCTTGGCCAAACACACAGCAAACTGAACCAATCAGCCCAATCCAGAAAATCAGTTGTAAATTCATCTGAAATACAAAATGTACATTGCTAAATATTAAGAAAATAACAAAAAACAATAATACATTAAACACAAAACATTCCCACTCACCTTATTTTCTGTTGATTTTATAAATATAATCCCTCTCAAACCATTTCTTCTCCAATCCCTCTCTATAACTCTTTTATCCTCCCTCTCCCCTCCTCAGTTACCTCACCTGTCAATTACATTAATGTCCACACCAGATCCCTAGAATCCATTCTCACCTTTCTCCATATCAAATAGGTTTTAATGTCTAATTAACAATGCTCAAAACGTGTCAAGTATTCCCAAACACTATAAGAGCCATAAACAGTCTTTGTTCCATGGAATCGCTATGTCTATTACCTCCTGTGGCTCCCAGGAGTCACACAGCCATATCCAGATGCTGCAGTTACCTCAATACTGCAGGTCAGTTTGAGTGAACTTGTCAAGATTGAGATGGCTCACCCCCCTGCTAATAACTTTTCAATAATGTCTATTTCTCCTCGGGCTAAGGCCAACATCCTGCCCAAGGCCTGACTTAATTTTTGAGGTTGAGCTCCTGTAATTAGTTATCTTTTTTTAATAAAATAATGTCTATGCATGGGATTAGTAAAACATTTAGTTCAATTCCCTGTCATCTCTAGATCTACAAATTAGACTAAAAAGAAAAAAAAGAAAGAAGGAAAAAGAAAAAGTACAGGAAGGGAGCCTAAAAAGACCGACACGCCTAAAAAGACTGACAGGGGTTTGAGTTGTCTTCTAGAATCTCTAAAGAAAAATTAAGTAATCTGTATATTATCGAGAATCACCCCAACCTGCAGCCATTAGGTATAGGACAATTTCCTGTGAATCAGTTTTTCACAATATTGATCTATACTTACTTCAGCTACGGCCCCAGCCACAGCTCACTAACCCTTATCCTTTCACTGTTCATGGTTCTTGGACTAGCAGCCAATCACGTATAAGCATCTGCCTCTCCCACAAGCATACATAAAAACAAAGAGAAATACGGTAAAATCCCAAAAAGTTAGCTTACTAGTTATCAAAGACATATAAATTAAAGCAATACGAGGTAAACCAGCAAGACAAAAAGGGGGGAGAGGGAGTTTTAACCCAAGGAAACTACTGCAGATAGCTGACAGAAACCAGAGATGGCTCTATAAACTGGTATAATTTTGGGGGAAATAATTTAACCTGTATCAAAAGCCATAAAAAAATGTTTCTACCTTCTGACCTCGCAATCTAGCTATTATTCATCCTAAGGAAATAGTTAAAAATGTAAAAGGTGATACACACACACAACTCATTTATTTACAATAGGTATAAACACAAATGTCTTCTACCCAGTAACAAGGAAACAGCTAACTGCGTCAACCAGATGGGACTAGTAGAGTCATAAAAATAAAACGTAGTAACAACAAAAGGTTTTTAGAATAATTTTGAATGCAAAGTACATATTTAGATGACAAGTATGTGAAAATAACAGTACATGAACATATAAAGTAACCAAGGAGTCCTAGAGATGACAGAGACTTATATGCATAATATAAAGACAATGGTGGGGGTGCCCGGGTAGCTCAGTCACTGAAGAATCTAACAATTTCAGCTCAGGTCCTGATCTCAGGGTCCTGGGATTCAGCACGGCATGGGTGGGACTCCATGCTCAGCAGGGAATCTGCCAGTCTCTCTCCCTCTGCCCCTCCCCACTGCTCTCTCACACTAAATTTGAAAAAAAAAAAAAAAAAAAGAAGAAGAAGACAGGGACGCATGGGTGGCTCAGTGGTTTAGTGGCTGCCTTCCCGCTCAGATCATGAGCCCAGGGTTCTGTGATGGATCGAGTCCCACATCAGGCTCCTTGCTCAGCGGGGAGGCTGCTTCTCCCTCTCCCTGCTGCTCTGCCTGCCTGTGCTCTCTGTCAAAATAAAAAAAAATCATAAAAAGAAAAAAAACTTCCATTCTAAGATGCTATTCCCACAACTCCCAAAGAGTGCTTCAAAGCTGTGCTCAGAGCACCCCAGATTCCTGTGCCTCTTCTGCTGTCAAATGTTTAAGCTTTCTCTGCTGGCTTCCCAGAGAAGAAGAGTGAGAGTAACTTACGTAACCACACGCTCTACACTTGCTCAGAGCAGCAAGTCCCGCTATGCAGCGAGCCTACAGTTTTGCTTACGCACCACTTGTAACTGCATCCAAAAGACCGTAACTGTGCAGAGTGTCATAGAAGTGGGACATGCCTACAGTTTGCCTTGTATGGCCTCTCCAACAGGTTTATATGCAATAAATCCATTAGACTCAAATTCTAAGCAATTCAAATAACATTACCAATTCCAAAGTTATGACAAAAAGGTCCTGGAACATGAAGACTGTGATGAATGAATCATCCGGCAGTTTTCACACAAAAGAAACAGAATAAATATTCGTCCCATATATGGGCTGGTACGGTTCTTCAGGACACTCCTCAGGCTACTTCAAGGGCCCTACACTGCTTTGAAAAACGTTTTAAAATATTACACAACTCAGAGAATCACCATGAAGACAGAGTTAGGAGATAAGAGCAGCACTGTTTTAGGCAGCCTCACAACCTTAGGCCACCCACCTTTAAAACAGACTTTAAACGCCCGTCTTCTCCTCCTCCTGTAAACCTTGATGAGTCGAAGATTAGCCTTCTGAAACTCCCTTGCTCTGGAAGGCCCCAAACCCAGAGGCAGGCAAAACAAGGCTTTAGTGTGGAAGAGCAGCTGAGAGAACAGGGCGGCCGCTAAGAACAGGGACACTTGTCAACTCTCCTGGGACTGGTCAGCACACTGGCAAGAGACAGACAGCACCGTCATTGGCTGGTGACGCCTATAAAAGGCCAGGCTTTCCCTCCAGGAAGCAGAGAGACCAGTGGAGACAGAAGAAGACAGCAAAGAAGAATAAAGAGCAGCGAGGATGAGGCTGGGAAGAAACTGGGTTAGCGGTGGCCGAGGAGAGGACAGCAGGCTGTGCAGAGGACGCGGCACAGGAGACAGCAGCCTCCCAGTCAATGAGGACAGTCCCTGAAGGTACTGGACGCTCCTCCTGCATGTGGGGCAAGAAGGAGGATGCACCAAGAGCTCCCCGCAGCCTTTCCTCCTAAGGCAGCTCTTCTCCAAGTGTGATTGAGGCAACATCTGCTTCAGATGTACCTGGATGCCCACCCGGGCACCTAAAGCCCACAGGCTCAGTAGGCGGAATCTGTTCTCCTCTGATTCCCCAGCTTAGTAGTTTCCTACCATGGGTACTCCTCAGAACGTGAAGGGCTGGCAGGGAGAGATGCCTCCAAGGCATTATCCTGATCCTATCTTCAAAGGTTGTCTACACTGTTGTAGTTATCTACGTTGTTCTCCACTTTATAATCTCCTACTCCGTCCCCAACTGGCTGTAATTGATGTCCACTTCCTACCATGCATGTGAAACTGCTCGTGCAAAAAAATAACCTTCCAGGCCTTCCACTACTCTCTGCATTCATTCATTCAGGCAAAAAATGCCGTGACTGCCTACAGTAGGTCACCTGGGGAGATACATCCATTTCCCATGCACAGAATCTACACACAGCACTTAATCCATTTCACCATTCTTTCTTAACCCACTCTGTTCCCTCGGGCTTTCCTGGTTTCTCCTCCACCTCTCTGGAAGTTCTTCCTCAGCCAACTTTGTCAGATTCTGTGCCCAATCTGGAGAAACAAAAATCAGTCTCAAGGAATTTTCCATTCAGGCAAAAATACAAATGATTACAATATGACGTGACAGTTTCTGTAATGAAAATAAGGAAAAAGTGCACTGAGGACACCAAAATCGGCCTGGCCAAGTTCAGTGGCTTCACGGATTTGGCAAAACAGGCAGACAGATGAAGAGAAATGTTCCAAGCAAGAGGTTTGTATATGCAAAGCCGTGGAGTCCTAGGAAGAATTACAGTAACTTCTTTCCAATCTCATTTCTAAACATACATGCTTGGTGACCCACACTTCCACCCCCAACCCAACTGGGATTGTCTCACTCTATCTGCACAGAAAAAAAGGTTAGAAAAAATATATTTAAGGGCGTCGGGTGGCTCAGTCAGTTGGGCGTCTGCCTTTGCCTTAGGTCATGATCTCAGGCTCCTGGGATGGAGCTACACGTTAGGCTCCCCACTCAGTGGGGAGCCTGCTTTTCCCACTCCCTCACCCCCTCCCCCTGCTTGTGCTCCCTGTCTCCTTTCTGTCAAATAAGTAAATACTTTTAAAAATATGTATCTGTATTTTATATATATACATATATATATATATATATATATACACACGTTATAGTTTAAGCTGGTCTGTGGGATGATTATTTTGTCCCTGTAATTTTCTACAATAAGTAAAAATTACATTATAATCTTAAAATAAATTTTAAGAATCTTAAAATCATGAAGGCTGAAAAGAATCTTAACATACTTAAGCACTTCTGAGACTTATATTGTAAGTGAGGTAGGAGGAGCTGGGTCACAGAGAGCCTTCAAGGCCACCCCTGCTCAAAGGGTTTAGATTCTACTTTGTAAATAGCAAGGAAACTGGGGGAACAAATGGGCCAGGGTAGCACGCGATACAGACATGACAGAACTCCGCGAGGCAGAGGATAAACATCAAGCTAAGAGCTGCAAAACAAGGCCTGCTTTCCCTGCCGGGGCTCAGCAAACATCTGAAGGCACAGAGCAGCAGTGCACGAGGATGAGAAGACAACTGTGGGATTAGGAGGCAGCACAGCTTGGAAAAGGAATCACCCCTTTCAAACAACGAAGGCAGAAGGAGAATGATGTCAGAGGAGCAAATAATGCCTTTGTTTTAGAACCCAGGAAGGTGAGATGCCTGAGGGACTTCTAGGAAGGCTACCTACAGGAAGGTAAGACACAGGTCTTGATCTCAGGAGATAAATCAGGGTTAGTTAGAGATGACGGATTACCCCAGAATGGCTGCCACAGAGGCAGCAACTGAAACTATGAAAGTAGGAGGCTGTGAAGAAAAGAAT